TGAAATAGTTTATCCTGTTTGCCCAAACCATTGGACCATGGTGTGACAAACACTCATTGGCCTGGATGTTTGCCACAAATTCATGGAGTAGTGTAGAAGCTGACCTCCTGCCCACCGACTATGGGCCATATACAAAGACTCTGTTCAGGATTTAAATCTCCCCAACTGCGATTAGTAGCTTTCCCTGTGTGCCCCTGGTTCGGCACTTTCCCTTCATGCGAAGTGAACCAAAAGCTGGCTCTCTGGCAGCCGTTCGCATGAACCACACCCACGAATAGTTCCAGCAGTACTTAGCCACGACCACCATGGAACTAATTTCAGCATGAGGACTTCGTGGGTTCCCAATCACCTCAGCGAAACATAGCCGCGAATGTTATGGAACTGTTTTCAGCATGAGGCGACCGCGTGGTTTCTGGACAACTTGGTTCACGGTTTTGAACCACTTTGAAAAGCTTTTTGGAGGGAAGGTACCTGAGACTAAGGGGAACAAATGCTACTTAGGATCCAGCCGGGGTACCCCTTATTCAGTGGCGTCGCTAGGGGGCGGCCAGAGGTGGCCATGGCCCCCCTACATCATGCTGTGCACCCCCTTGGGCCCCCCCAAATGCTGGCAACTTGCTGGCCATGTGTTTAAATTATATTCCCTCGGGCTGTAACAGTGTGTTACAGCCCGAGGGAATGCAGGACAGAGGGGCTGGAACGGAGCACTGACAGGCTCTCCGGCACAGGCCCCGCCCCCAAATGAAACTCCGCCTCCCGCACATAAGCTCCACAGTCTCTGTGTGTGTGTCTCTGTGTGTATGGACTCAGCAGTGTGTGTGTATGGACTCAGCAGTCTGTCTGTGTGTGTGTGTGTATGGACTCAGCAGTCTGTGTGTGTGTATGGACTCAGCCGTCTGAATGTGTGTGTGTGTGTGTGTGTGTGTGTATGAACTCAGCAGTCTCTGTGTGTGTGTATGAACTCAGCAGTCTGTGTGTGTATGGACTCAGAAGTCTGTGTGTGTGTGTGTGTGTGTGTGTGTGTGTGGACTCAGCAGTCTGTGTGTGTGTATGGACTTAGCAGTCTGTGCGTGTGAGTCTGTGTGTATGGACTGAGCAGTCTGTGTGTGTGGACTCAGCAGTCTGTGTGTGTGTGTGTGTATGGACTCAGCAGTCTGTGTTTGTATATGGACTCAGCAGTCTGTGTGTGTGTGTGTGTGTGGATTCAGCAGTCTGTGTTTGTGTGTGTGTATGGCCTCAGCACACAGTCTGTGTGTGTGCATGTACTCAGCAGTCTGTGAGTGTATGGATTCGGCAGTCTCTGTGTGTCTGGACTAAGCAGTCTCTGTGTGTATATGGACTCAGCAGTCTGTGTGTGTGTATGGACTCAGCAGTCTGTGTGTGTGTGTGTGTGTGTGTGTGTGTGTATGAACTCAGCAGTCTGTGTGTGTGGACTCAGCAATCTGTGTGTGTGTGTGTGTGTGTGTATGGACTCAGTAGTCTGTGTGTGTGTGTATGGACTCAGCAGTCTATGTGTGTGTATGGACTCAGCAGTCTGTGTGTGTGGATTCAGCAGTCTGTGTTTGTGTGTGTGTGTGTGTATGGACTCAGCACGCAGTCTGTGTTTGTGTGTGTGTGTGTGTGTATGGACTCAGCACGCAGTCTGTGTGTGTGCATGGACTCAGCACGCAGTCTGTGTGTGTGCATGTACTCAGCAGTCTGTGCGTGTATGGACTCAGCAGTCTCTGTGTGTCTGGACTCAGCAGTCTGTGTGTATGGACTCAGTAGTCTGTGGGTGTGTGTGTGTATGGACTCAGCAGTCTGTGTGTGTGTGTGTGTGTGTATGTATGGACTCAGCAGTCTGTGTGTGTATGGACTCAGCAGTTTGTATGTGTGTGTGTATGGACTCAGCAGTCTCTATTTGTGTATGGACTCAGCAGTCTGTGTTTGTGTCTGTGTGTGTGTGCATAGACTCAGCAGTCTGTGTGTGTGTGTGTGTGTCTGTGTGTGTATTTGGACTCAGCAGTCTGTGTGTGTGTATGGACTCAGCAGTCTGTGTGTAAGTGTATAAATCAGCCTGTGTGCATTCAGCAACGCCTGTGTGCATTCAGGAGTCTGTGTGCATTCAGAAATCTGTGTGTGTGTGTATTCAGCAGTCTCTCGGTGTTCATATTTAGTGTACTGTGTGTATGTACTCAGCAGTCTATCAATAATTAAATGTTTTATTGCTGTGAGTTGTTGTGTAGGAAGGGCCCTAGTGCACTGCTTTGCCCGGGGCCCTTAACACTGTTAAGATGGTACTGCTTGTCTGTGTCAGTGAGCTTCTATTTAGTGAGCATGTGTGTGTCAGTGAGCTTGTCTTTAGTGAGTTTATGTGTGTCCCTGAACTTCTTTATAGTGAGCCTTGTATTTATACAAGTGAGTTTGTCTGTAGTAAGCTTGTGTGTGAGTCAGAGTTTTTTGTCTGTCAGTGAGCCTATTTGTGCATGTCAGTGAGCTTGTGTGCTCACTGTACTATAGACTTGTAGGAATGACATACATTTTTTTCCAGGGCTGCTTTGGATTCCCAGTTTGGCTCTGCCAGCGAGTGCGCTTTACCGCTGAATCATCTGTGTGAGCTGCCGCACACTTTAGCACTTTTGCACGCGTCTGGGAGCTGCTGTTGACAGGTACTAGAATTCTAGAGATTGGGACATGGGGTATATGCTCAGCTATCTGTATAAAACTATAGTGCTGTTCTCTGTATAATACAGATCTGTGTGTGTATAATATCCCAGGATAGTCAGTGCTTCCTGTATAGTGCTGCTCTTTGTATAATACAGGGCTGTGGCTGTATAATATCCTGGGACAGTCAGTGTTCCCTGTATAGTGCTGCTCTCTGTCTTGGGCTATTTTACACAAACAGACCTGTATTATACAAAGAGCAGCACTATACAGGGAGCACTGACTTTACCGGGATATTATACACACAGCCATGTATTATACAGAGAGCAGCACTGCACAGGGACCGCTGACTGTCACAAATTATTATACACGCAACCCTGTATTATACAGAGAGCACTGACTGTCCTGGGATATTATGATAGCTATGCTGCAAAATGTCCTTGGAACTTTTTTTCAAATGTTGGCAACTATGGCACTGTATCAAGGGAAATGTGTTTGTTTTTTTAATAATCCCTGGTGGAAAATAATGAATCCTCCACTATGGATTATTTAAAAAACAACAACACATTGTGTCAGGGGCGGGGCTTAACATGCGGCAGGGGTGGGGTCAAACTGCAGCAAGGGTGGGGTTAAATGTGCCCCCCTACTTTTGCCCCTGGCCCAACATGTGCCCCCCATAAAAATAAATCCTAGAGACGCCACTGCCCGTATTGCGTCCGCAAGAGCTCCCGGAAGTTGACCGGCAAAAGCACCAAACGCCCTGGAACGGTTATGGGCATAGGACCATGTGTGCAGCCGGTCGGAACTTCCACGTGGAGGTTTTTTTATCCTACACTGCGTGGATCTGAGCACTATTTGGAGAACTTGGGCGCTCAGATCAGGGCTATTTAACTATATATAATTTGTGGGGGTTTCTATTTGTTTTGTATGTATTTTTTATGTATTTTAATATTTTATGTTTTCATGTCGCGTCACTCTGACACAGGAATTTGTAGACATTTTGTGGGAGTGTTCTGGGCATGTTTTACTGCATCCTTGTTTTGTATATAAGTGGGCCATTTGGACATGATTAAAGACATTAATTTCTACCCTTCATCAAGTCTAGGCTGATGTTTGGGGAATTGGGAGCTATAATCACTGCTTCACTGGGTATTTGGGAGAACTACAGCGGATATACTCAGCCGGGGTATAGGGGATCCGTTACACATGGTATTCCGTGAGATGAGCTCCTATCAGCAGCTGGACATGGCACTGCATTGAAGTCTCCGCCGAGCAGCACAATCCCTCAGGGTAAAGAGTTGAGAAGAGTAGTTAATTTATTCTGAAAGTCAGTGATAGGGGTGTTAGGGACGTAGACAGTGATTTGAACAGGGATCGCTTGTGGATCAGGATCGTAACCCCATTACATTTGCGATATGCTCGGGTCTCATGTAGGGTGGAGTATATGTGATATTTAAGTGTTATATGTGCTATTACTGGTAAGTCGGTTCCTGGGAGGAGACGTTTGAGTTCCCTTAAAAATACCTTTTTTTTAAAAGTACCTTTACCTTCCGGGAAGAGATTTTTAATGTCAGAGGCTTGATGCAGTCATCTGCTGCCCAACCCAACCACCACCCCCCCCCAGACAGGATAGCGACTAAGCCCCCCCTGCGAATGACCATTCAGAACAAGGGAGAAGGAAGGAGAGAAGAAGATAATATAGAAGAAGTAAGAAGGAAAAAAGATAATATGCAAGACATCTGGTCTTATACATCGCCAGAGATGAAAGGGGTGCATGTACCCCAGCTTCCTACAGGACAGACGACTGTTAGAAAGTAGAGGGCCATGGACCACATTACCGTTTTGAACCCCAGCAATGAAAACTACATAGAAACATTTAAATACATAACGGGAATCAACACAGTAAAGGGAGAGACTACAGTTGCAAGAAAAAGTATGTGAACCCTTTGGAATGATATGGATTTCTGCACAAATTGGTCATAAAATGTGATCTGATCATCATCTAAGTCACAACAATAGACAATCACAGTCTGCTTAAACTAATAACACACAAAGAATGAAATGTTGCCATGTTTTTATTGAACACACCATTTAAACATTCACAGTACAGGTGGAAAAAGTATGTGAACCCCTAGACTAATGACATCTCCAAGAGCTTATTGTTGTAATTGAGTGAGATGTCAGCCAACTGGAGTCCAATCAATGAGATGAGATTGGAGGTGTTGGTTACAGCTGCCCTGCCCTATAAAAAAAACACACACCAGTTCTGGGTTTGCTTTTCACAAGAAGCATTGTCTGATGTGAATGATGCCTCGGACAAAAGAGCTCTCAGTAGACCTACGATTAAGAATTGTTGACTTGCATAAAGCTGGAAAGGGTTATAAGAGTATCTCCAAAAGCCTTGCTGTTCATCAGTCCACGGTAAGACAAATTGTCTATAAATGGAGAAAGTTCAGCACTGCTGCTACTCTCCCTAGGAGTGGCCGTCCTGTAAAGATGACTGCAAGAGCACAGAGCAGACTGCTCAATGAGGTGAAGAAGAATCCTAGAGTGTCAGCTAAAGACTTACAAAAGTCACTGGCAAATGCTAACATCCCTGTTAGCGAATCTACAATATGTAAAACACTAAACAAGAATGGATTTCATGGGAGGATACCACAGAGGAAGCCACTGCTGTCCAAACAAAACATTGCTGCACGTTTACAGTTTGCACAAGAGCACCTCGATGTTCCACAGCAGTACTGGCAAAATATTCTGTGGACAGATGAAAAGAAAGTTGAGTTGAAGAAACACACAACACCATGTGTGGCGAAAAAAAGGCACAGCACACCAACATCAAAACCTCATCCCAACTGTGAAGTATGGTAGTGGGGGCATCATGGTTTGGGGCTGCTTTGCTGCGTCAGGGCCTGGACGGATTGCTATCATCGAAGGAAAAATGAATTCCCAAGTTTATCAAGACATTTTGCAGGAGAACTTAAGGCCATCTGTCTACCAGCTGAAGCTCAACAGAAGATGGGTGTTGCAACAGGACAATGACCCAAATCATAGAAGTAAATCAACAACAGAATGGCTTAAACAGAAGAAAATATGCCTGCTGAAGTGGCGAAAAAAAGGCACACCAACATCAAAATCTCATCCCAACTGTGAAGTATGGTAGTGGGGGCATCATGGTTTGGGGCTGCTTTGCTGCGTTAGGGCCTGGACGGATTGCTATCATCAAAGGAAAAATGAATTCCCAAGTTTATCAAGACATTTTGCAGGAGAACTTAAGGCCATCTGTCTACCAGCTGAAGCTCAACAGAAGATGGGTGTTGCAACAGGACAATGACCCAAAGCATAGAAGTAAATCAACAACAGAATGGCTTAAACAGAAGAAAATACGCCTGCTGAAGTGGCCCAGTCAGTCCTGACCTCAACCCGATTGAGATGCTGTGGCATGACCTCAAGAAAGCGATTCACACCAGACATCCCAAGAATATTGCTGAACTGAAACAGTTCTGTAAAGAGGAATTGTCAAGAATTACTCCTGACCTTGGTCCATGTCTGATCTGCAACGACAGGAAACGTTTGGTTGAAGTTATTGCTGCCAAAGGAGGTTCAACCAGTTATTAAATCCAAGCGTTCGCATACTTTTTCCACTTGCACTGTGAATATTTACATGGTGTGTTCAATAAAAACATGGCAACATCTTTTTATTCTTTGTGTGTTATTAGTTTAAGCAGACTGTGATTGTCTATTGTTGTGACTTAAATGATGATCAGATTACATTTTATGACCAATTTGTGCAGAAATCCATATCATTCCAAAGGGTTCACATACTTTTTCTTGCAACTGTAGTGTAGATTGGATTAGCCGTATTAGTCCAGTAGACAAGATGTCAAAATACCAGAGTATTGCAATATGCAATGATACAGTTTTTATAAGACTAACATAATATTTCAATGACAAGCTTTTGAGAGTTTTCCTTTCTTCCCCAAGTCTGAAGCAATTCTGATCAATCTGATAGAGTTTAACACTTAAAACAACTGATGTTAGAGAAAAGGGGCGTGGGGTGTCATAAATAGCAGAAGATGTGCCTGCCAGTTAAAGGTGCAGATTGGCTGAGAATAGCCATAAAAAGTAAATAAACAGAACAGAGTCAATAAGCTACCGTATATATACGAGTATAAGACAAGTTTTTCAGCACATTTTTTGTCTTATACTCGAGTCAATATCTGTATTGTGGCAACTTACATTGCCATAATACAGACCAGGACCGCCAGGCTCATTATAAGCCCGGCGGTCCTGTTGGGGGCTGGCAGAGAGCTGTAACTTACCTTTCCTGCAGCTCCTGTCAGCTCCACTGTAAGTCTCGTGAGAGCCGCGGGGTCAGAGCGTTGCCACTGGTTACCGTGGCAACGCTCCACGCGGCACTCACCACAAGACTTGCAGTGGAGCTGACGGGAGCTGACTGGACCGGAGGAGAAGGGAGTTGACAGGAGCTGCAGGAAAGGTAAGTTACAGCTCTCTGCCAGCCCCCCCTCCTGCAAAGCCCATCCACTGGACCACCAGGGAATGAGAGCCCCCCTCCCTGTCCAGCTAACAAGCAGGGAGGGGGGACGAAACAAATATAAATAAATAAATAAAAATGTAAATAATGATAAAATAAAAATAAAATATTAATAATATAAAAAAATAATAATATTAAAATGATAATTAAAAAAAAATAATAAAAATGCCCACCCCCACCAATGCTCTGCATCACACACACACAAACACACTCTGCACTCATACACACACACCGCATTATATACACACACACTGCACTCATACACACACACACTGCATTCATACACACACACACTGCATTATATACACACACACTGCATTCATACACACACACACTGCACTTATACACACACCGCATTCATACAAACACTGCATTCATTATATACACACACTGTAAATAAATATTCAACTAATATAATTTTGGGAGGCTCTAATTTTATTTAGAAATTTACCAATAGCTGCTGCATTTCCCACCCTAATCTTATACTTGAGTCAATAAATTTTCCCAGTTTTTGGGGGTAAAATTAGGGGTCTCAACTTATATTCGGGTCGACTTATACTCCAGTATCTCAGACATCAGCGCACACTGCACGCAAGCAACAAAAAGCATTGCATCTCTGCCTTGCAGGCAGAAATCACATTCCAGCCTAACAGGTTAAACTATTGAGAAAATCTTATTAGGACTATAAGGGTCAACCATATGGAGCACGAACAAATATGGACAACAAATGGTTAACACTGTGTGAGATTTGTGTAGTTTATAAAAGAGTCATGTATTGCTTTAAAAACATGAAAAAGTTGTGTGCTTGTTTTACAGTTTAATATACAATTCACCATCTCATGGTTCTCTGATGGGCAATCCTGGACGAATGCAAGTGCACCGTTCCCTGCAGAGTTTCCTGGCACACAGTGGTATAAGTCTTGGAGCTTTACCGATACTCTATGGATAGCAATACCCAACTGCAAGTTAAGTCGTGAATACCCGCTAACGATCCGGAGTGTGACGTACTGACTTCTTGTGACTGGAATGTCTGATCTTTACACTATAGGTACCGGAGGGCAAACCCTATTGAGTGGTGTCCTTTGTTTCAAGTGGCTCTTTTCCTGTACAGATAGTTCCCTTTTCTTTTTTTGTCCCCCTTTGAACACATAATGACATGCCCCCTTCAACCTTAGCCATTTGTCCAGTTTAGCTCAGGCATCCCAGCACCAGAAGGGTGTATATGCCCAGCACTGTGTCACTGAATTTTCCCACAAGGTCCACACACTCTTTTACATGTTCATCCTGACTTTATGTAACATCTTGTACTGTCTAACTAAATTGTCTGTTGATAAAGAAAAAAAATGAAAAATAATCTTGTCAGTCTTTTGTGAAGATCATAATTATTTTATCAAGAATCCCGGCCGATGATTAGGAGAGATCAGTGGGGAAAGTAGCCATAAGATACCAAGCTGCTGAAGTAGCTCCTGAATGTCACTGGTGGCATGGAGAAGGGGAGGACGCAGTACCAGGTTCTGGTCTGGGCATAGAGTCAGGGAACAGGCACACTGTTAATGTTACAGACACAAATCATGCAGAAACATTAAAATGGATGCACATACTTGCCCACCCACAATGATATGTGTATATATAAAAAAACACGACCTATACATACAATATGTGTATATATGAAACACGACCTATGAGTTTGTGGCTGGGTGTGATTATCCAATATTTAGGAAAAATTAGGTCATGATTTCTCTTTCGTGCTTTGTGAACAAAAAATTCCTGCACACTATCCAAAAAAGCAAAAAGTAGTGTGTATCCCAAACTCAATCTCTTATGATCTATGCTGTTTCCAATGTTTTCCATCAGTGCCCATCTACTAAGTAGCAGGAATATAAAAACTGTTACATCATTAATGGCATTTAGGATGAACTCAATGTGCCCAATGTGCCCACAATGACATCCACAATGTCAATGCCCACAATGACATCCACACTGGTAAAAGTCCCGTGTTGCATTTCTGAGGTGGGCAAAGCCCATGCAGTTCCCATGCAAAATCCACAAACAATGCATGCAGGCCAGTTTCAATAGGACAGTCCTTTTTTCTGTGTCCTGTCCTGCTATCCCTGTGTATGTTCCCTGCTGTCCCACTTTTGGGGATTCCAAGGAACTGTCCTCAGACAATGTAGAGTGAGTGCAGTTTTAGGAGGGCTTTCAGTATGCTAAGTGCATTAGGTCCATGCAGAGATGATTGTAACAGCTCTCTGCATGAAGCACTCTTCATGGTGCCAGTGTGAGTGATTGCCAATCATTGCCATGCCATGTTGCCAGTGTGAGTGATTAACGTGCATTCACACCAAGCTAACATGCCGAAAACGTGGGCACAGCAGACCTATTTCTTGGCAGATCTGCCCCTTTGGGCAGCACCAGTGTAGGGGTTCACATCACTGGCCCACCCCATTTTACCCCCTCCCATAGCGTTCCACTTTACACCAATGTTGGTTGTATACACAATGAGCTCATCCAGAAAATAAATCCAAGCAAGAAGCCATGAACTGACAATACATATATGAAAAATTTTCATAGAAGTAAATGTGACTGTAAGTGCTGCCTAAATATGCCTCATTTTATACCAGATGCCGCTCAAGTTATTAAAAGGACAATCTAAGCATGATAACCATTACATGCTGTCATAGTCAGTATGGTACTGTTAAGCTGCAGATACTGAGCTCTACTAACATGTGAACAAGTTGTAAAGGAACGCTAAACATTTAAACCAACACCAGGCAATGATCTTCCACGGCGTCTCCGCCCTCACACCTTATCACTCCTTTACTCTACTTGATCCAATCAAATGCTTCTCTTTGAGACCCATTTTCAGGTTCAGAGCAAAGGTGTGTGCTCTGAGCCAAGAAGGGAGTGGGAGATGGACAAAGATGGGAATATTTAAATAACTAGAAAAGCTACAATTTCTGGGGAAATTGTGTGAAGTGTTCTTGCCTCCACCAGTAGTCTACAACTAGTAACTGTTATTATTTATTTATATAGCACATTTAATTGCAACGTTGTTTCCCAAAGTGCATTCCCAAAGTGTTACATTAAAACATACATTTATAAAAACATTAGCAGGTGTACAAAAGGCCCTGTCTATGACATCACTTGCTGCTCCAACCTGGAACAGTTCAGAATATTTTGGTGGTTGTCATCTTCAAACGGTCGTATTTTAAACACTATAAATCCTACAGTGAAGAGCTTTATATTGTGAGAATCACAAGACCCAGATCTACATTTTGTGATGCATAGTATGTCTCTGAAGTATTAAAAATGAAGGCACAGTCGCAGTTTAGAAATTGCCCTTCAGGTTTGAGCTGGCTAGAGTGGAGTTACAATGAATGTCAATGGACGGCGTGAGTTGCAAACAAATGGTCATATTGTGAAAACTATCAGTACTATGGCTTAGCCGTGGACATGTTTAGTGGCAGCAGGGATAGCTGAACGTTTTGATATAAGATTTGTGTAGGTGGGCTTGAAAATGAGGGAGCGGTGGCAGTTTAGAAATCATGTCCTGATTTTTCAGCTTTTGCCAGCTCCCACTCTAGTTTTGAACATTTTGCCATTCATTCCTATGGGACCAATTTCGCCACAAGAACGACGATATTCCGTGAACCATTCGGCGAAACGTTCCACAAAGTAATAGCAATCCGATCGGGAACAATCCGCACGTTTCGGTATATTACTGTCTATATAGTGTAAAACCTGTGGGAGGAGTTAAGGTGGTAAATTTGGCTATAATAATAATAACTAGAAAAGTTACAATTTCTGGGGAAATTGTGTGAAGTGTTCTTGCCTCCACCTGTAGTCTACAACTGGAGTGGGCGGAGTAACTTATCATTTACATAGCACATTTAATTGCAACGTTGTTGCACAGTTACATTAAACCATACATTTATAAAAACATTAGCAGGTGTTCAAAAGGCCCTGTCTAT